ACAGGGTAATAGCTTTAGATTATTGTAATAACAAGCTCCAGCATAACTTTATGTTGCCAGTAATTAAGTAATTGGCTTGAAAAGGGGCAAATACTGGGAGGGATTAGAAGACCACAGTATAGTAGGCGTAGATACGCCTTCTTCAACAGTCTTTCTCAAGCAAAACACTTTCCCTTGAGGGGACATCAAGTAAGGTAATAATGACTTCTAATAACCTCTATGGTGTATAGTAAAGGAGATTATATTTCAGTTCCTGTGTAAAGATGGGTGCCCATGTCTATACAGGAATGTGTCAAGTGAGCAGTTTTTTGACACACTCCTTTTATATCTAAACTTGTTCCAGGATGCTAACGTTTCCCAAAAATATGGCTAATCCAGTTGGGTAACTTTGTCCCTTCAGTTACATGCAAGTCTGGTCTTGCTCAAACTGAGAAAGACCAGGGAAATGGTACGAGAGCTTTTCTCTCCTTGGCGTGTTCTAGGCATACTGAGATCAGGAATCTCATGGACGTTAGTAGTTGGCAGTTCTGGGAGGTGCATCCAAATACACCTAAAGGGACACCAGGTTGAGGGAAAGGTGCAGAACTGCTTCTCATTGTCTGACTGAAACTGGATAATGTATTTGTAGGAAGCCATTCAGATGATACAAATCCTTACTGTCAAGCAAAGAGAGTTTGACTTATTCCCAGCCCATCCTTTTCACTATAGTAACTTAGTGTACCAACACTAAATGCTTAGCCTACAAAAACAGTGCCAAAGAAGGTTGACATGGGGAGTGGAAAGCCTTTTTTTTTTCCTAGCACAATTCCATAACTGTCTCTGTGTCCCTTAATGGAGTAGTGCATTTAGTTATAGATCAGCCTTCCAACTGCTTCAGATTCAGTCAGTTTCAATGTGAGGAAGGTACTCTTGTGGTTGAAGAGAGCTTTGTGTGAACATCCTGCTCCTCCCCCTTCCTCCCCAATTTGCTGGATAAGGAGAACCTCATGCAGCCCAAATTAAAAACAAATTGTGAAAAATGTTATGGAAATGGTGGAATGTCACTTTTGGGGAGCAACATACTTTTCTTTTTCCCTTTGTACAAGCTCTCAGAGTTATAAGCATAAGGAGCTATCTTCTCACACACTTAAAAAAAACATTGAGTGGGAGGGACTGTATGAAAAGCTTTGCAGTCAGTTGTTATCTAAAATGAATTCAATCTAATCATCTTTCTTTCTAATAGCAAAGTCAGCTGATGAGCGCCAACAAGATTGTAGCCAAAATGGGGCCACTGAGAAATAAGAGGGATATATCACCATGCTCCAGGGAATGATTGCAGAAGTAGGAAAAATATTTGCAGGACAGGGAAGGAGAGAAAAATAAACCAAGCAACTTAAGGATGACTGAGTAGCTACTGTAGGATGGGAATGAAAAGCAGAATGAGGGAGAAGGGACCAAGGAAACTAGAAGACTTTGAACAAGAGCACTCTTTTTTTGTAGATTCCAATTGTCAATTGTTGATAAACTGACAATAAAAACACCTGAAAATGATCCCCGAACTATTCTGAATATAGGCAGTGATGTAGGATGGGGAGTGAGGTAGGAGGATTTTTGCAATAGACATTATCCAATCAATTCAGTCGTTGTACCAAATCATGAGGCTGTCTATTTCAGAAGTACTGGTTAGGACTGTGCAAAGTATTCAGGGGGTTGCATAGAAGACATGTTGGGTTAGATTGCCACCAAAGTACTTGCTAAATGCTTTGTGGAGCCCTAGAACTAATTTGAGAACCAGTTTGTTGTAGCAGTTAAAGGCAGTGGCCTAGACACTGAGAGACCTGCCTTAGGCCCAAAGAAGTCAGGTGACATTGGGCCAGTCACTCTTTCTCAGACTTAGGAAGGAGGCAGTGGTAAAACACTTCTAACAATGTTGCCATGAACACTGCATGGACTTATCCAGGCAGTCATCAGGATTCAAAGTTGACTTGAAGGCACACACATGCTAAAAAAAAGAACTAATTTAGGCTTCTGGGGGCTATTCTTTGTGACCTTTGTTAATTCTAATATAACAAAAGCGGAAAGAAGGACACAGGTACAACAATAGAAATAATAAAGGTAGATCAGGTAGAAGATTACATTGAACCAGTTTAAAATTATATGAGAATAGGGCATCTGACCAAAAGAAGGAATGCATTGACAGGTTGTTAGCTCTTCAAGGTAGTCCAGACAAGAATCACAACTATGATTACTAGCTCTATCTTTATTGTAAGGTTGCATTAACAAAATCTTGTAAATCTGAAAGTACTCCTCCCTTCCTTCACTTTTACTCTCCCAAAAACCAAGGAGGGTCCCTTCTGTGACATTTTCACCATCCCTCCTCTTTCAGACACAAATTTCGTTTATCATACCATTGTCTAGGCTGCAGCTCTTCCTCCTGTCTCCCAAAGTGATGTCTGCATACCATTACGCAGGTTAATGGGTTGTGTAGTTCAGGAAGATAGAACACATTTACAAATGTTCTAGAATCAGAATGTCATCCTTTGTGTGCCATATTCAACTGAATGGGACTTGCTTTGGAGAGAACATGCATAGTATCTGGCTGTAGCCCCAGTTCTATTTGGTCTCGTAAGTGCCTTATTCATGCAAGGAACACACATTTTTCCAAATGTGAATAAAACTGTGACTGATTTACATTGAAATGCATTGCATTTTTATCTTCTTCACTATAAATCCACTTCTGTCCTTCATATCTAAGCCAGCCTTCCCTCATCTGGTACCTTCCAGTTATGTAGAGAATATAAGTCCCATCAAATCAGCAAGGTCAATTGCTTTGAGAGAATCAGTTGGTGTGGTTAAACACACTGGTCAAGGAGACCTGATTTTCTAGTCCTCCATTAGGCACAAAAGACAGTGACTTTGGATCAGTCACTGTCTCTTAACCCTAGGAAGAAGGTACTAGCAAACTACTTCCAAAATGTTGCCAAGAAAACTGCATGGACTTTCCACATAGTCATCAGGAGTCAGGGTTGACTTGAAGGATCATAACAATAACAACAAAGCCAATTGCAGCAGATTGGAAAAGACAGATCTATGCTATGAATCAGTGTCAATTCACAGTTAAATTGAATAGTATACATTGGACCTGTGGGGCCATCAATTTATTTAATGAGTGTACTTTTGAGAGTTTAGATTTTTCCAAAAGGATGTTAAGGAAAAAAATGAGAAACGGTTTGTCTAGAGACTCCAGTAAAATAAAGCATGGAAAATGAGCACTGCAAAAAACAAGGGCTCTATACTTTCAGCCTCTGAAGAACCTTTGAATGAAAATTGTCAGGACACGTAATTTTGGATGAATGCATCATTGGAAAGAGTTTGTTATCCTTAGTCCATCTTATCCACACAGCCTCCTTGCTTTGATGTCCATCTTAGTGCTAGCCAACTGCTGAGGCAAGCTGAAGCTGGATCAAGGTGATCCAGCAGAAAAGTGTTGTTTGTTTTCTATGGAAAATGGAAAAAATACTCCCATGTTAGCCTTCTAGAGTGCATGGAGGAGTAGCCTTCAGAAGCTCCAGTTGGACCCCTGCAGGAGTGCCCCCTCCTATTTGGTTGGAAGACACTAAACAGTTCCGTTGTGGCTGCCTGAAGGATTGACACTTCATCAGCACAGCCTGTTTCTGAGTTAGTTTGTTTCACTCATGGGAATTCAGTCATGTGCTTATAGACTGATGTCATGTCTACCAGGAAGTCAAGATTCCCATCAGCACCTGAATCAAATCGCTTTGCAGGACCTGGGTGGGAGGAGGAAGAAAAGAAGGCTGGGCAATGAAGGGAAGTGGAGGGAGGCTATCTGTCAGCACCTAACAAAGGGGAAAGGCTGGATTCCAGCCAGGAGGTTCATCACCTTGTCAATGATTGCACCTTCCCCTGTTTGGAAAGAGATCAAAATAATCACAAAGTTGCAAAAGATTTGGAGTCCTCCTGGTGGAAGCATCATTCTCAACAAAGACAATGAACAAACAAACATTCTAGGCAGGCAGCAATGCTACTTGCATCATCCTTGAGGACAACCATTTTTAAGGCCACATTCTTTCCTCTTCTCTCAACGTGGTTGTGTGTAGATGAACCCTTTCATTTTGAACTATCAGAACTGGTATGGTTCAGCAGATAGGCTTGAAGGTTTTTCTGCAGGTCCTGGGTTGATAGTTACCTTCTCAGGGTTGTGTAGTTCAGGAAGATAGAACACATTTACAAATGTTCTAGAATCAGAATGTCATCCTTTGTGTGCCATATTCAACTGAATGGGACTTGCTTTGGAGAGAACATGCATAGTATCTGGCTGTAGCCCCAGTTCTATTTGGTCTCGTAAGTGCCTTATTCATGCAAGGAACACACATTTTTCCAAATGTGAATAAAACTGTGACTGATTTACATTGAAATGCATTGCATTTTTATCTTCTTCACTATAAATCCACTTCTGTCCTTCATATCTTCCTTTATCTGCATAGCCCAGGGCCACATAGTCTTTCTGCCTCATTTTACTTTATGTAAAATGGGGATAATAGTCCCCTACCTTAGGGAGCGATTGCAGACGTGGAATGCCAGTTGTGAGCTGTCTGATCATGTCATGAATAGCTAAGTATGTACTGCATTTATTCATGGCTGAAGGGAGGATTTGAACTGGGCTTCTCCAGCCCTACTGTGCTGTCCTAACACGATCGTGGCTGACAACATATGCAAATGCTATATTGTTTAATCCTGTGTCATTCTACAAACTTGATTAATAAATCCATATTGGTGCCGATTACTATTATTTTTCCTGGCCCATTGTCAGTACTAAACAGGATGCATTATACAAGAGGTTTGTGAAACTTTCAAAATAAACTTTTATTTAGAAAAATACAATAATGTTGTCACTTGAAAATACACCGTGGAGTAGCTTAGTGATCAGTCTTCAACCTAATTCTTTCTCTATCCTGTCTGTTGTGTGTGTGATTCTCTCTCTCTGATTGGAACTGGAGCAGATTCAGCAAAGGAAGCCCCAGCTCCTTGAAAATAGCGATGGGTCCAAGGATTCGGACAGCTCCGCGGGCCGACGGGGCAGCCTGAACCGAAAGCATGAAAAGTGGAAGAACCATCTGGATAGTCCTGGAGCGCTGGTTGCCAAAGTGGTGAGAGCTGTCACGCTGAAGCATGAGCCCAGCCACAGACTGCCAGTCTACTTGGATTCTTCCAATCGAAGGAACCTGACGCAGCTTAGAGGGGATGCCCAACTGGCCATGTTCCAGCACGGAGACACCGGCAGTGTGGAAGGGGCCCCGCAGCCTACAGAGAACAACTTCACTCCCAAGTGTGAAATCACAGGCAAAGATGCGCTGTCTGCCTTAGCCAGAGCTAGCAGTAAGCAGTGTCAGCAGGAGATTGCCAATGTGGTGTGCCTGCACCAAGCCGGGAACCTGATGCCATGGTCAGTACCCCGGCAGTGTCAGCTCTCAGGTGAGAATGGGAGGACCTTGGGGAATCGTCCCCCATGAACTGAGTGATGCTATTGAGAGTGTGTGACCCCTTGTCTCTGGACAGGGACAGTTATCCTTTGCGTGTGCGCGATTTAGGAATGTGGCTGCCCCTTGGCTTATGCCCGTTCACCAGCCCGTGAGTTGTGACTCCTGGGATGCCAAACCACAGTGCTGTCCCAGCCTTGCTGATTGGGAACCTTCACCTCACGCTGCCAAGGCTTTGCCTTGGAGTGCAGACCTTTTGCGTGCAGAACATCTGCTGGGTCACGGAGCTGTGGCCACCAGCATAATAACCTGTAACAAACTCCTTGATTAAAGGAGGCACAGACTGTCCAATTAAGGCTGTTCTGTTAACTAAATGAATCTTACTTGTAATGAGGTTGGTCCACTGGTATTACTTCAGCACCTGAGAGGTTGCCAACTAGCCAAGGGGGTGGAAAGGAAAAAAGGGACAGTCTGGCTGTTGCAGGACTTTTAATCAGGAAAGCTCATCTTTCTGGGGAAACTGGTGGTATGTGGGGAAAAGCCAGTGTTGAGATAGGTCATTGGCAGAGTCATATTCTCTCTCTCTCTCTCTCTCTCTCTCACACACACACACACACACACACACACACACTCACACTCGTTCTTGCCATTGGTCTTTCTGCCACCTCATCTAGCACGCTTCTGAGAAGAGGGACAGATAGATCTTGTTGAAGGTGTAAAGGAATTGCTTGCAGAGGCTTTTGAAAT